AATAGAAATATAGATAATAGATATCATGAAGGTAGTGCCCAATAAAAATAATTGCAATTAAAAAGTAAAACTCCATACAAAAGTCCATCACCCTTTCAAACTCAGTGCCTAGAGCAGGAATGTCAAACTGCTGGCCCTTGGGCCAGATGCGTCATGCCAAAACCGCGCCCACCCCAGCTCCAGCAATGGGGAAAAAGTCATATGTTGTGACACGTCATGTGACATGATGAGTTTGACACCCCTGGCCTAGAGGATCAGTCAGGTCTTCACAAATCACTTAAATAAGGCCACAGTGGGGTCATACACATCTCAGGGAGAATGTTGTTCCAGAGTGCAGATGCCATGATACTGAAGGCCTGTTTGCAAGTGTCATTATTTAATCAATGGGACCTAGCGGATAACTTTGTCAGAATTTATGGAACAATCAGAAATTACAGGAGACAGCAGTTCTTCAAATGATCAGTTCATACACAGATGAAGGACTTTATAGATGATACCAAGAATCTTCAACTGCTCCCAAAAGCCTATGAATAACCAATGCAAGTCATGAATCAGAGGTGCTACATGAGCATATCACAACATGGTCATAATTGCCTATGCTACATTCAGAATCAGCAGTGTCTTCTAGGGCAACCCATGTGCAAAGAATTGCAATAATCACGACTGTATATTGCCAGGATTTTTACAAATTATTTATTAAAATCTTATCAAAATATCTTGTGAAACTTCACAAGATGTCCTTTTACCTCTTTAATATTGAAATCTGTCCGGTCTTACTAGACAGTTAAGACTTTCCAGCGTAAACCCAGCTGGAGTTTGACACAATTTAACACAAATAAAGTATTTGACATGTCAATGATCTGTTTATATCTAATGAAGATTATGAATGCTCTATACCAACATTGATATACTTCAGCAGTTTAGTAAATCACAGGTAGTCCTTGATTTACAACAATTTGTTTATGGACTGTTCAGTTAGAACAGCTCTGAAGTGACTTACGACTGTTTTTCACATGACTGTTGCAGCATCCCCGTGGTCACGTGATTAAAATTTGGATGCTTGGGAACTGATTCATATTTATGATTGCAGTATCCCATGGTCATGTGATTACCTTGTGACCTTCTGACAAGCAAAGTTAATGAGGAAGCCAGATTCACATAATCGTGTTACTAATTTAACACCTGCAATGATTCACTTAACAATTGTGCAAGTAAGCTTGTAAAATGGACCAAAACTTACTTAACAACTGTCTTGCTTAGCAACAGAAATTTTTGGTTCAGTTGAGGTCATAAGTCGAGGACTATCTATATCTGCTTACTCAATTAATTGCAGTAAATCTCATATATATTCTGTAGACTTTACTGCAATGAAAATGGAGTATGTACAATTTGAAACTTTAGTTTTTTAAAAAAAAAAATTGACTTAAAAACATATTGGAATAATTATTTCAGGAACATTCTTTGTAGTAGTAAATATTTCAATACCTGGCCAGTGGTGATATAATTATTATTTAGGAACCTAGGATGACCACCAGGCGGAGGGAATTGCTGGACATTATATTTTGAATGCAAAATTTGTTCCAAACCCATTACCCAACATCTAAAACTCCTAAATGACCAATTCAGTTTGGATGATTCAGCATTCTGTGAAATATTGTGTGGAAGTATACTCTCTGATAAAAAAGAATCCACTATTGAAAATTAACGTGTTTTAAAGATGCAATGCTTTACATAAAAATTTATAAAATATAAAATATTGTAGTTTAAAGATTAAGTTCCCATTAAGAACAGTAACAATCATATCAGATGGTGCTATGAAATGCCACCTGATAAACTCCTCCAATGTTAAAATTATAGGTAGTCCTTGACTTATGACCAGAAGTTATGATGGACCTCCCCAAAAGTTACTTTTAACCCAGTTTTGTAGTTCCAATGGCTGCCCCCATGGATATGTGATCACATTTTGGGCAATTGGTAGGTGACCTGCATTTATGTCCATTTACAGCATTCTGTGATTATGGGACTATGGTTAACAATGTATTTGATGAAAACTGACATTTACTTCGTTTCTGGCAAAAGTGCTCCATAGTGAACAGTGTGTTCTTTAATACCATATTGTTTACTTAATGAATGCTGCAAATAAAGGTCATAAAATTCTGTCAGTCATGTGATAACCCGTTTATGACCATCACAACTTACAATTGTAATTGGCAGGCTCAATTATGGTCATAAATCGAGGACCACCTGTAGTTTTGGTTAGACTATTGTGGAGATAAAATATGACAGGCCATTAAAATGTGTGTAACTAGTAGCAAGTAAATTCTTTAGAGATTAGACAGCAGGAACTATTTTAGGCTGAAAATACTTCTACTTTTTTAAATGTGAAACAGCAAAAAGTAGTGAAAAGAAGGGCTTGTTAATATTTCCTCCTCCTCCTCCTGGAAGCCAAGAAAATAGCTGGGAAGAGAGTAGTGCGATTCTGAAAAGAAAAGGCCTGGAAGTCAGATATGTAAGAAGATATTCCTGCTGTTCTTAATCTCAGATAATGCAGATTAATACACATGTGCAAACAGCATCCAACCAATGAAGAAAATAACAGACTAATATTGGATATAGCTAAATTTCAATGACTTGAAAAGATAAGGCTAAGATTCTCTCAAAAGACATGTATACAAACATTTGACTTCTGATAAAATTGCTCATGCTTTATAGTTAGAAAAATTAAATATGACAATGGCAAACAAAAATTATTTATTTGAAATGTCACTTAAATACGTTTTTCCATGGATATTCCAAATATACACAAAAAGAACATTGCAGCAATTTTTTTTAAAAAAAGTTTGGTTTTATGCAACAAAGTGCTAAACCTAGCTGTAACACATACCTGACTTTGTTTTACTAAGTATAAAAAGGAATAATTTATATTTACACTTATGTACAATGATCTACACTTATCCACATACACATCAACCAGTTTCAAAACATGAGTATATTTGCTTCAAGTTTTACCTACATTAAATATTTTTAAAAAACTGGTCACAAGCGCCAGATTGTTTTTATGGTGCTTTGTTGATACAATCATTCTAGTGCTGCAAAATTAAGGCGCTACCCAACACCAGACCTTCAGTTATGCAAAGCGCTGTATGACTAATGCACACAGTTTTCTAAACAAATCTTATTCCTTTTCATTGAAAATGAACTGCAGCATGAATCAAAGAGCAGAAATCCGCGGATTATCAGCTTATCGGAATCCCAAAGCACCCTTAGCAACTGAAAGGAAAAAAGGATATTTGAAAACAGTAGATAAAGGCCACTGTAGCAAATATTTCATGAGTGGTGAAATTTAAAATGGTCTCAACTTCACCTATTATTTGGAAGCAAACCTATTATGGATTTCAGGTTTTTGCGTGCTTTTTACAGGTGTGGCTGTGATGTCTTTGCAGCCCTATTATAATCAATAAAATTATGTTCTCAATATTATTTCTGCAAAGCATTTTAGACAATGAGGACACTGTAATCCTCAATTCTCTGTAAATTGCCAGATTGATCAGCCTAAGAGAAAGAAAAGAACATAAAAATTCTGGTTTCATCATATACTTATGTTAGCATTTCTGCTGAGGTGACCAAGTTCTGATGGCTGAAAGGCTCATCAGCCTGGCTTTTGATTTTAAAGCCCAAAAGTACCATGCTGAAGACTGCCATAAAATTCCTCATCCAAAAGATAGCATCAGATGGCAATCTAAGGAATAGTATATAGGATTCTGCCTCAAAAATGGAAAGTGCCAAAACAGTAACTTAGGAAGAAATTAGTTTGTACTTATGCTGAATTGTTCTGTAGGTTCAATTAGTAACATAACAAAACAGAAAAGGGAAAGAGAAAACCAAGATGTGAACCGAAATCTTGCCAGAGACATTCCAAGCAATCACAGCTAAAACTACTGTGAAAAATAATGAAGGTGGTCCAAGTTCCCTGCAAAAAACCACTGAGGTTCATTTTGAAAAACTTCTTTCTTGATAAAACTTGGAAGCTTTTAGAGTCCAGTGAATGAACAGGAAGACAGCTGTGTTGAAGGAAAGTGTGATAGCACCCAGGGACTGGATAGAAAGGAGAACTAAGTGAGAACCTCCTTCTCTCTGGCTTTAATTTTGAAACAGGTAATATCACGCTTGACTTCTAGTGACTACCTAGAGAAATTCATGCGGTATTCCTGGCATGTCACTGATGTGGCTTGCCATGGCCTCCTTCTGGCATGTTTTTTTTTTAAAAAAAATTTCTTGGTCTCACCTACAGCTTCAGAGATGCCAGACGATTCCCTATCCAAGTAGTAATGAGGACTGACTTTGTTTAGTATTCAAGATCCACCAAGGTCAGCCAGGACCAGGTGCAAACTTTAAAAAAATACTTGAAAGAGAATCTACAAACTGTGGTAAAGAAATTAGAACTTGCAGGAAGGCTATGGCAGAAATTATTAGAGCTTCATTTGCAAGTTGCACAGTTAACAATTGAAAGAGCAGTCACAGGTCAATACTTAACTACAAAAAGTGAATTCCAAGAAGAAGCAATTACAGTACATTCAGGCTGTGTTGATCAGTCTTAGGAAACTGCTATCTGGTCAAGATTTTTTAGACAATCTTCTAATACCACACAATTATAGCACTTACTAAAATCAGTCTTTTTGATATTAGACTTCCTGTATACATTTGAAATTTCTATGCCTTTGTCCAAAGAGCACATGCTGTTTCTAATTCATAAAGGAGGCACTTTTGAAATATTTTGGTATTGTCATTATTTTCTTGCCAGATTAATTTTTTTTACACCCGATATCTTTTAGCTTGTCGTGTCTTTGCACTATGTTCTAAAACCTGAACTAATATTATTTTCATGTCCTGTTCATTTCTGGAAATTCAGAGATCCCAGCAGTTTGAATTAGCAATACTGATTTGCTGTTTCATGTTTACAACTAAACTACTAAACTATTTCCAATAATTCGACCATTTTTAAAAAGTTAATCACACATATGAAGACATCAAAATACAGATATATTTACATCTAATTTAAACTTGCATTGAAATTTGCAGTACAGGATTTCATTTGTGTCTCCTTTCATGTCAGCAAGAACTTCAAGCACGAACAGTATTCGGTACATAACAAGTAATATTAAGGTTTTGGTTTTCAAAAGTATATGTAATTATGTTTTCTTAGAAGAACCTATTAGGCTGGTATGGCAGTTGTGAGTAAAGATGGATTTTACTTAAGTGTTACTTCCAGACAAAACTAGAAGGATAAAATTGAAATGGTGATTCGATTTTTCAACAGCCTTTAGTTAAGATGATCGCTGAAGAGCTTGAAATTAACAGTGTAGATATACACTAAATATGCTGGCCATGATCCAGCCACGGAGCTTTGCAATCTCAAGTATTTAATGGCAGAGAGAAGCTTTCCCTAAGACACAGTTATGTCCACTTGGGAGGCGGTTAGTTCCATGTCCCAACTACAAGGCTGTCCACAGGTAACTCCTTATTGTAGATTCCTGATGTCATTCTGAAGGAAAGTGGGCTTGGGAGGAAGAATGACTCAGTCTTCTTAGATATATTATGAAACATTTTTCTCAATACATATAGCATGCAAATTACAAACACAAGGAATTGGCTTATAACCAGCCACAAAGCTATTTCATCAGATACTGTTTTGGACAGTGTTCTTTGGAAGTGGAATATTTTATCCTGGCAATCCCATTTATGTCCGATACTTTAGTCCACGTTGCAGATAAAAAGTTGCTGTTGGTGCTTTCTTCCAGAGGAACATTTGAGAATTTCTTTTCAACTGGCTATCGCAAGGACAATTCTAACAATGCATATTCTCAGTTTCTAATCCACTACTCCAAGTCTGTTTCAACAAAGAAATAAAAATGTCAACTGGGGATTTGTAGACATTTTAGTACTTCTGACTCAATTGTCTCATTATGATAAGTAGATGGTGATTATGTACTCAGTTGATGCCTGCAACTACTGTATGCTCTGTTGTGGCACAACTTCCAAGAGGCTCAGATTATTCCAGGACAAGAGGCACAGAATACTTGATTAACTATTGGGTCCAGCGTGTGCAAAGAAGAATGAATGCTTAAATGAGCAGAGGGAAGAACTGTTCAATTACCAACTGTTTTCTTATTAGAATTTTTCAGTGTGTCTTCACAAATAAGACTGTGTCATCTGGGTCTTTTGCGGGTCACAAATATTAATACACGACGAATGGCAATGAGACGATCTTTAAGTGAAGTCATAGCAAGAATGGCCAATTGGGCTCTGTTCTCTAGTGGTAATACTGCCAACAGCCACCAGTACCAAGATGGACCACTGGGATTACTCTGTAAAGAAAATATTAACAGATTAATTGTTTTTAGTAAGATAATTCAAGCAGATAGAATGCCATCTGAGAGCTGTAAGAAAATCTAAGAATACAACATTCTGTGCTGTTCACAGAATGCAGAAACTGAAAATAGTTCTTGCTCACTCACAAAGTATTTCTGTAATGAACCTGCAGCTCTCCAGATGCTGCTGATCTATCACTCCCAGCAGCTTCAGCCAGGGAAATGGGGAAAATTGCAGTCCAGCAAGATCTAGAGAGTCACAGTTTTCTCCCTATTTTATGTAGTAAGACTGTCCCCCAAAATTATTGTCATTATCTTGTTATTTCACTATTATAGAAAAAATATCAACCTAAAAACAATAGATCAAAGACAGATGACAACCAAACTCCAAACTGCTTTTTCTGGCTCTCACGTAGTCCAGTGGGTAATGCGTGCCAAAATTCAATAGCAAACTATCAAGCATTATGAATGTAATTTCCTGCAGATTTATAGTATGAAAGCTTGAGGCTTCAGAAATGTTAAACACCCTTGAAGTGACTAAATCCTCCATGGAATTAAAAACCCTGAAACACAATCAACCTGAATGCACATACAGGTAGTCCTCGAGTTACAAGTGTAATGGAGCCTGCCCATTCCACTCATAACTCGAAAACTCATAGGAGTGAATCTCGTACCTCAAACGAGATCACTCGTTAAGACGTATGTGGCTCGTTAAGTACACATGAGGTATCTCAGGGTGGGGAAGGCCATGGGAGGTGTAGTGATGGAACAGGCCCCCAAAGCCTCCCTGACCCACTAAGAAACATCATGCTTCTCCCTCCCTTCCTGCTGCACCGGACTCACTTACCTTGCAAAATCTGTTTCCTCTCTGCCACGGTTTCTTTCCTTTTGAAGGAGAAGAGAATCAGCTGGGAAATGCTTTTCGCACCGACAATGGAAGCTCCTGGGTGCCGTAATAGAGCGCAAGTTCAAACACAAATTCTCTGCAAAAGAGATCATGCCCCCCAGAAGCTTCCATTCTGGGTGGGTGGGTAAGTGTTTGCTTCGTTTGCATGCCTATGGGGCAAAGCGTGGAATTGGAGTCGGCCGGGCGCAGGAACCAATACCGTCCGTGGCCCGGATGCGCTGCTCGCTCACGTGTGCCAGCCTTGATTTGAGGGCAGGAACGAAGCCTTCAACTGAGCGGGGCGAATCCCCTTGGACCTGTGTGCAAGGCAGCGGCAACAGCCACCTGAGTGGCTACGATCTCCCCTCCCCAGCCAGCCACCCACCTTGCCTGACCTACTCCTTGCCTAACCGGCCGGTGGCACAAATCCTGACCGCTCTTCTTCTTGTGCTCCTTTCTACTCAAGCAGCAGCAACAGCTTCAGTTTCTCCGCTCCGTCCAAAATAAAGCAGAGGCGCATAGCAGGATTGTTCTCAAGAAGACACGGGTGTGCTGCTGTCTCGTGTGCACCGTCCTTATTGAGAGCAATCCCGCTCTGCACTTCTGCTTCTTTCCACTTGGACGGAGCAGAGAAACTCAAACCGCTGCCGCTCAAACACTTTTTATCCAAATGTACACCTGAGATTGGAAGGTCCGTGTGCCTGCCAATGGGGAGCTTCAGAAATGGAAAGGAATGCTCCATGTGACTGCTCTCAAAAAGGCTGGCGCACGCGAGCAAGCAGCACACCCGTGTCTTGAGAGCAATCCTGCTCTGCGTCTCTGCTTTCTTCGTTTCGGATGGAGTGGAGAAACTGAAGTTGCTGCCGCCGCCACTTGACTGGGGAGGAGCACAAGGAGAAGGGGATTCGCCCCACAATGCCTCCCTGCTCAGTTGAAGGCTTTGTTCCTGCCCTCAAGCCAAGGCTGGTGCACGTGAGCGAGCAATGCACCCGGGCCATAGATGGCATTGGTTCCTGCACCCGGCCGACTCCAATTCCATGCTTTGCCCCATAGGCATGCAAACGAAACAAACACTTACCCCCCTCAGAATGGAAGCTTCCGAGGGCCATGTCTTTTGCATAGAATTTGTGTTTGAACTTGCGTGATATTACAGCACCCAGGAACGTCCATTGTCAAGACTATCTAGACCCATACCAGTCGGGCTTCAGGCCGGGACACAGCACGGAAACGGCATTGGTCACGTTGGTCAATGATCTCTGGAGGGCCCGGGACAGGGGTTATTCCTCTGTCCTTGTTCTTTTGGACCTCTCAGCGGCTTTTGATACCGTGGACCACGGTATCATGCTGCGGCGTCTCGGTGGGTTAGGAGTGGGA